CTCCACATCTGAGACAACATTTTTTTTTTATGGGAACAGGAAAAATTCAATAACAACTTTTTAAAAGTCGGTTGATTTTAATAAAACGCGTTTAAATTAAGACGTAAGTACGCATAATAAAGATAGTATTTATTTTTCTTGTAATTTTCTGCCTTATATTCAACAATGCACTTTATTCATTAGTGAAGAGTAGACATTTCAGATAAAAAAAATGGCTAATAAACCCTGGAGCTACGGACTTATTGATGCGCACACACACGAATTTTTGAAGGATTTTAACATTCAATATACACAAACACAGACACACGCACACGCACACACACACACACACACACATATATATATATTATTTATATATGTGTGTGCAAGCATGTATGTCTGTTTGCATGCATGCGTATATGCGTAGCAATATAATTTTCTAATCTATTTAAAATTTTAAATTCTTGCTGACTTTTCGGCAATATTTTAATTACGTTTTTTATTTCTGTATTATTCAGTGAAATGTTATTTCCATAATTTTCTGAAATTTTAATTTGAATATTGAAAAGATTTTATATTTGTATGAATTCAAACTGAATTCTGCTGAGAATGATGCTGTGTAGAATACAATTTCCTCATTTGAAACAATCCTGTCTGTGAAGGTTGATAATTTCTGAGGTGCAAAAACTCGCAGATGTAGATTTTAGGTTGAAATCCAAATCAGCTCAACTCATCAATGACGAGATTTTGAATGCTGCGGTAGAAAATTATTAAAAAAATATAGCCAAACAATTTTTAGCAAACTTGTAAATTCTAGAGCCCCTAAAGGTCACTTAAGAATAATCGAGAATACAGTATCATCTTTGGAAAGTTATGATAAGCATTTAGGAGAAAAGTTAATAGTACAATACATCAAAGCCTTTTTAAAGTTGGCAAAGCAATTAATGCATATTAATATATCGGCAATCCTGGCCTCTCCGATGCGGTGTAATGGTTAGCAAACTTGTCTCACTAGAACAATTACGCCTGAATAGTGAGTTCGATTCTCACTGGGTGTCCCATACTTCCGGCCTTACGCCACATCTAAGCTACGCTTGGAAAATCACTGTATCGGTCATCCTTTTATTTCATTCGAAAATCGTAAAACGTCAAGATTAGTGACTCGGAGGACTGTTATCTAGGTATATGGTAACGTTAACTTCCATGTGACAAAAATGAAGTTAATAATTTTGTATCAGTTGAATTAAAAATCTAAAAACGGTGCCAAGGGTTCATGTTAGACTTGAAATAAACATATCGAATGCTAACCCTAGACACATAAGATTTGCACATTTGAAAGATTAATGAAACACACTCTTCTTAGCACTAGTTATTCCACCTATTCGGCTTTGTATTGTACTATATTAAGTTTAATTTATATCGAGATGACGAGCCGAAGAATAATATCTATTCAGATATTTGTTTTAGAATTCCTTGTTATTTAGTTTCAAATTGAGTGTCGAAATTATATTATTTTAACAATTCTGTCTTTTTTCCCTCTCATTATCTTCCTCTCTCTCTCTCTCTCTCTCTCTATATATATATATATATATATATATATATATATATATATATATTTTGGACGGATTTGCACCAAAATTTACATGCTCCAAGTTAGCAGGAAGGTCAAAACCAGCTTTACATTTCCCAACTCCCATCGATAGTGGAAATAATCGATTTTTTCATGCTTCTACGACAGTTTTCATGTAGTTTGCGGCCATTTTCTACTGGCCAGAGTGAGATAGCTGGCTTCCACGAATAAGCAGGAAGATTCTATTGACCAGCGTGAGAGCCAACAACTGACTGACGACGAATGTTAAGTAGCATGCTAGCATGGCACTTTACTCCAATTGGTTCATTCGCTTGTTAAACTCAACGTTGATTCTGATTCCGCAGAACTGGGTTGGGTGTGAAAAAGTATTTGTTGTTAACATTCTTTTTTCATTCGGTTTTTCCAGTTACGAGTCATTTTTTAAAGCTGATCGTTTTGTGTTCATTTTGTTTAGTTCTTTTTTCGTAACAGATTTAATGTTTAGTATAGACCTTAGAAAAAATTCATAGTGTGAGATAGGCAAGAAGTAAGGCATGTAGCAACATCAGCCCGGCAAAATGGGCACTCCTTTAAAGGCAAGGAAGGGCAAAAATATTTTAAGTCAAGTACGACTTTTGTATCAAGCACGGGCAACGCCGGGCCATGCTGCTATATATATATATATATATATATATATATATATATATATATATATATATATATATATATATATATATATATATATACGTGTTTAAGGTTAAATAATAAAATCAACTAAAAGTAAGTTATATTCTTTGATCATCTCAAAAATACACATAGAGTAAGCGACATTACTATTAAGGATATAGCTTGCACGTAAATATCTGACGGGTTAGCAACCCTTTTCATGTGATTTTATTTGTTTTGTTTCTAGATTGAACTTCACTATAATTAGGAAATGTAATGATGATTTATTTCTCGAGATTTCGTGTCCAGATGTAAAAATATTGTAGAAGCGTAATTAATTTTGTTGGAGGTCAGCACAGAAATTAGATGAAAATTATTAAACATGTGTGAAAATGGTTGCGTGTGATTTCCAAACTTCAATCTAAAGAGGCTTTCATTCTGATAAAGATGTTAATTTTTGAGACACAACCAGCACTTTTGGCTTCCTTAAAATATTTATTAGAACGTCAATTTCTAAAAGAGTTAAATCGCTGAATGTATCCTGTTTATCCACAAATTTATTGTATCTGATTTTACTACAAATAGGCTTTCTTTGTTTAAGCCAGTGACTTCTCTTCATGCAAAGCTCTTTAAAGAGAAGCAACATTTGATCTTTTTGAAGGGAATCAATAGAGTAGAAACTGAATATTTCTTTTTCTCTTCTTTTTGTCTCGTGTTTAGATCAGCCCAACAAATTAAATATCTGCATTTTTAAGATAGTTATGATTTTACAATTATACAGTTATGAAGCCATCGCCATTCTTTAAATTAAAAACTCACAAAATATAACAATCCCTGTAAAGAATGATCCTCTTGTCTTCTTAATTCTAATCATTTTAAATATGTCACACATTTAACAATAATCTGACGGCGGGTTTTTATTTGAATATTTTTGGGCTTAAGTATCTTCCAGCCTTGTTGGAAAATATGATGTCAGTGCATATTGCAATGACTCAATGGATTATTCTTCCTATGAATTGATCGAAGAACTTTCGTAACAGAATAAATATTAGTTGCGGTATAAAACTTATATAATCCAGTTCGGAATGAGTGAGTAAAAGTGATATATGGTCTTTGTAATTCTTATCATGAAAAGCTAAACGAAAAATTGAAACATTAACAATGAATGAATTAAAATTACGATACATTTGATAATGAGATTGTAAAAATAAATTTTAAATCAACTATTTTCCTTGAATTTTTTTTATTTAAACAATAAAACCTATTTAAATAAAATAAACATTTTAATCAAGTCAGAAGATGACAGATATTTTCTAACCTGGTCTGTAAATGGTCAAAGCAGAAGCAAGACATTCTACCAAATGTACACACACACACACACACACACACACACACACACACACACACACACACACACACAGTTCTATCTGTCTGCATGTGTGTGCTTTTAGTTGTTTAAATGACCATCTGATAGATTTATTATATTTGGTAAATTGAAAAGGAATGTTCTGCCGAAGAAGAAAACGTGTATAAAAGAGAAAAACAGAAAGAAAAAGAATGACCTGAAGACAATTAGTTGCTTTTAATCTCGACAAGTTATAGTCCAAGTTGTTTAGCTTTATAAAAAGTTCTTTCTTTCTTGGAATTCGTTAACCCGTATGAATGGATGTATCAGTCGAGATTTACAAAATATTCGCTTACTGCAAATAACGAACGCATATTCATTCTGATGCGAGAGAATAGCTCTCAGAATTATCGCACCTTTTCACTATCGCAAAATGGAATGGTACATACATACATACATACATACATACATACATACATATAATCATGCATACATGAATGTATGCGGTGGCTGAGAGACAGCTGTGAAAGATCTGAGAGATCACCTGAGATTAAAGATGATTAATTTGAAATCTGATCAGATATTAGCCCTTAAGCAAAGGAGATAAATTATTACAGCTTCCGGTCCTGGTGTGGATTAACCAATAGGAACATTGAAATGATGCAACCAACTACAGTGTACGATTTCAATTACCTAACTTAAAATAAAAATACAACATAGAGGGGAAAACATCAAGTGTAGCTGAAGACAAACAAAATTAAACAAGTAAAGAAAAGCAATATTTCAATATATTCGGATGAATATTTCAATGTATTATTTACATCGTCATACGCCAAAATGATTCATCATTTTCATCTGTTAATCTAACTTGAAACCTTTGGGACATTTCTAGAAATAATATCTAGTAATCATATATGAAAACTTACATTTTGTGATTTTATTTTTACTCAAAGTTTTATATTCATCCCCTTAGTAAATTGTAGTAATCGAGAGGAAGAAAAGATGAAACAATCAAAAAAGAAAATATTTAATATAAATTTAACAATGTTAGCCATTTGGTTACCGCAAGACCAATGCTGTATTTCACAAGTAAAAAAAATTAACAATTACTGGATTTATTCGGATACGTGATTCATATCTACACAGAACTACTTCGGAAAATTTCAAGTTATATTTGATTTAAATACCGATTTTTATATACCATTAAATAATTGTAGGCATCGTTTGGTTTAATTGAATATTGAACAGGGAAGCGAGATGAATTTCCAAGTGACAGAATGGTCAATCCAGAATAATTCACTTTGTTAAAATTAATACAAATTTCTGATATATGCATAACTGTTATATTGGAATGATCAAACATCTAATTATTAAGTAGTATGATTTTTCCTTACATGCAGCAGTTACTCTTAACACGTTTTTAAATATTCATTTTTTTGTATGAATTCTTTCGAATTTCATTGGTCCTTTCTGTTTGTTTTTATTTTGCTTGCTTTTAGTTTTATTCTCCCCTGTTATCGTATTATACCATCCTCTATATCTCTCTCTCTTTCTCTTTCTCTCTTTTTCTCTCTTTCTCTCTCTCTTTCTCTCTCTCTTTCTCTCTCTCTTTCTCTCTCTTTCTCTCTCTCTTTCTTTCTTTCTTTCTTTCTTTCTCTCTCTCTTTCTCTTCTTTCTCTCTCTCTTTTCTCTTCTCTCTCTCTCTCTCTCTTTCTCTTTTCTTTTTCTTTCTCTTTCTCTTCTCTCTCTTTTCTCTTTCTTCTCTTTCTCTCTCTCTTTCTCTTTCTCACTTTTTCTCTCTTTCTCTCTTCTTTCTCTCTTTCTTTTTTCTCTCTTTCTTTTCTTTCTTTTCTCTCTCTCTCTCTCTCTTATCTTCATTTTACACCTTGCCTATTTTCTCATTTCTCTCTATTTCTTTTCTGTCTTTTCTTTTTTTCAAGTGTTTATTTTGCCATTTTTTAAACAATTTACTTTTGATTTTCGCAGAAAAAAAACGCGACAATTGATAATATCTCTCCATGTTGCTCACCAGTCATTAATAGTGTTGAAAGAAATTCTGAACTGTTTAAATTTAATTCTCCAAATCCAAAAGCTATTTCCTCTTCCACAAACGTAAATGAATGCAGGTGAGTCACGCTCAGTGGGTGAGAGAATAAAAGCCTTGGTTTAATTCCAGATTCTGTCTTAACTGTACACAATCTGCTTTTACAAAATGGTAATTAAAAGTGAGAAATATTTTCTGTCGAAGGAATCGCTAATATTAAGGAAATTCACGACTACTTATTCGATAAATCGTGTGTGCTTTTCTTATCAATTGTTAATGTTTGAATTCTTTCAATGGTGATGTTTACAAATGATAAAAGTATTATCTTGTAAGCTTGATACTAAACATTTTTGACTTTTAATAAGAAATTCATATTATGTTTTATAATAACGAAAAGACAAATTCAGCAGTTCTATGGCCGGCGTTTCAAAATTAAATGGATTGTAAATGGATGTCACACGGATTGCACATAGACAGGGAAGACGAGAAAAAATACACCCGTAGATTAAATAAAGAGTCCACTTCGAAATTCCTCGAAGGTTATCTGTATCGACAGTCACCTGAAGAAGGCCAGATGGCAGAACAGTCGAAGCGTTGTGATAATAATGACAATGATTTGGAAATCTGTCCGACTGTAAATAATGTAACCTATTTGCCGTCATATAATATATAATTTTAAATAGTAATAATAGTGCCTGTCTATATTTCTGAGATGAGGTATTATGTACATTATTTACATTATTCGGACTAATGTCCTCATCTTTATCGCCATATTTATTACAGCGTTTCGGCCTTTCAGTATCTGTCTATATTTCTGAGATGAGGTATTATGTACACTATTTACATTATTCGGACTATGGTCCTCATCTTTGCCGCCATATTTATTAGAACGTTTTGGCTCTTCAATATCTGTCTATATTTCTGAGATGAGGTATTATGTACACTATTTACATTATTCAGACTATTGTCCTCATCTTTGTCACCATATTTATCACAACGTTTCGGCCGTTGTACGCTCCGGCCTTCTTCAGGTGGTTGGAATGTCGAACTGAACCCTCAAGTACACATGGCACAGTGAATAAAGGCGTTGGTTAGATCCAGTAACAGGACCCAAAGAGTGTGAGTTCAATACCCGGTTAAGGCAGTGGAGAACTTTCAGAGGGAAATTAACAGGAGATAACTGATAACTGACATCCATCAAACATGGCACATGGAACTAGAACAGTCTACTCCAGTGTGCTAAATAAAAGGTTCAGTTCGAAATTCCAACCACCTGAAGAAGGCCGGAGCGTGCAACGGCCGAAACGTTGTAATAAATATGGCGACAAAGATGAGGACAATAGCAAATAATGTAAGTAATACTGGTAGTAATAATAAACCTTATGCAAATATTGCACTGCGTCCAACAGCAATTTATGATCAAATGTAATTACAGGACACAATGTCTACAAAAATAGTCAATTAACTGAAAAGTTTCTTGAAATGTTTTATTCTTTCTAGAAAGATTTCTTTAACAGATACAAAGCAATTTCAACAAATCCCGATTTGATTTACCTGACAAAATATCAAAGATAACTAACAATAAATTGATGTTTAATTGTTCCATTAAATTATTAATCCATAAAGGTTTTCTGTCTTGCTCTTGAAAATTTTAATACAGGGTGGGGCAGAGCAACTTGCTTATTTAAATTTGGCGCCCTAAAGCGATGGTTGCTCCAAGGATGGTAGGGATGGACTTATTTGAGAGGGTGGGGCTTAAAGTTTGGTTCTTAACGTGCGTTATTTATTTTTTGTTTATTTTTCAGGAACCCCAGTGAGCATCATGGAGTGGACGAAGTTGGAACGCGCTTTCGCTGTTTAGGCATTTTTTACAAGCGGTCGCTCAATCATCGCAACGCCCATGTGGTCGTGTTCATGGCTGTCAGTCGATTGTTTCATGGGTAAACAACTTCAGGGAAACGGGTGATGTAAAGAAAAAGAAACCTGGCCTCCCACGAACAACAAGGTCACCCCAAAAAATTGACTCAGTGTATAGAGAAGAATGGACGCCATCTTACTGATATCATCTTTAAAACTGGTAAAAAAATAAAATTTAAATGTTGAACTAGTTGCAGTTCAAATAATTACATGTATACCTGAATTACTTGTGTTTTAATTGATATTCCAAATAAGCAAGTTGCTCTGCCCCAGCCTGTATTAAGAACTAAAGTTTCTGTCCGATTATATCCAGTGAAATACTATAAATATTGTAGCATATCCCATGGTTAAATTTCAATTTAATATCAAGTTTGTGCCATTGAAACAGGTGCTACTTTTATTTTATTTTTCTTAATTTTTCTCAAAAATAAATTCTGTTCAATCGCAGATTGTTATATTATTTTGCATTATTTAGAATTTTCAGGCCCATGCCTTGCTCGAGTTCAGAAATATTTGGATGAAATGATCGAACTGTCCATTACTTTTTGATTCCAGTGAACAAGATAAACTTGGACAACTGTATGCGTTTTTATTTATAATCAGATAATTAATAAGAAGACAAGAAAACCTCCTGAGAATAAAGTTGTCGCAGATAATAAGTATCATTAAGAGAAATTAATGAGATGGAATGACTTTATCGTTATATTTGACGAACTAGGGTAGAAGAAGGGGAGGTAATTGTCGGTAGATTTGTTTGCACGGACTATGCCTTATATTATTTACAGCTTAGCCTTTAGTCTAGAATTAATTGCAACAAGCCATTATTTATCTCTTCGTGTTTTTATGACAGAAGAGCTGATTTCCATCCATGCTTGGTTGTCATCGTAAAAACTTCTTTTTTTAATGGTTCGTTTCTTTAAAGCACCAGAAAGAAATTCTAGACACATTTACATCAGGAATATTCTTCATTAACTGTTACCAAAGAGAGTAGTTCAAATTCATTGTAATACTTACACCTTCTAACATCGAATTATATTTTAGCTATATTGTTAACGACTTTATTAGAATCCACTTCATTACTTTTGTTTCACTCGTCTCAGTATCACAAATTTATTGATTTTCATTTAAAAATACAATAAAGTAGAAATAGTCATATTAGTTGACTAATTCAGTCAACAGGTGTTTTGCGATAAATATATTATTTTCAAATGAATGACTGAAACTGATATTTGAGTACTTCTTTCAGAGTGGGTTATAGGAAGTACTTATTTGAAACTGTGTTGTTTAACTGATCAATTAATACCTAACAATCTCTTGTTATGAAGGAGACGAGAATTTGATTAGGAACAATAGCAAGAAAAGTATATATTGAATCGAGAACCTTATATTCAACCTTTTTCGAAAGGACTAAAAATAAAGATTAACATTTGGGCGCATAACTGATTTTCTTTTTACAATATCGCCTACCTTTCTCACAAAGAAACACTCATGTGAAAAAAATGATTTATCAATAATAAATACACAGGTACACACAAATAAACACACAAACCAATAAATAAATATTAATAAAGATATATTTGCGATATTTTTGGTGGAGAAAGGGCTTAATATCAGATATAGAACATTTATAGCTATAAGCAGTGTGGACATAAAATCAACACTGCATATTAACTGTCAATTTCATGCATCATGCGATTATCAGACCATATGTCACAACTCCATATCCATCTCCTTATATGGTAATGAACGTTGGACAATCTTCTCATAGACGAGGAACAACTGGAAGTAACAGAACCACATTTCTGTTGCTTCCAGTTGAATACTGTTGTAGAGTCGTTTTCACAGTGGAGGCTTGTATTTCGCTAAGTCGGTCCTAAAAAGGGTCCGACGTACAAAACGTTAGGAACTTGAAATAATAGTTAATGACGCAGCAATCTAATTGTGATGGTTGATACTTCAATGTCCGACATCGACTGACTCACTCAACTCCACTGAGCTCTACTGGCGACCGCTACTACTACTACTACTACTATTTATTATGTGTAGGAGAATCTATTAATAATAGAATAGGTACGTTCAGGTATAACAAATACTCAGAAGAATACTGAGAATTCTATGGACGGAACGAGTATGTAACGAAGATGTCTTTAAAAATGGCAACAAAAAGAACACATCCTCAGAATCAGGAAGAGACGGTGAAAATTCCTTAGACACAGGAAGGAGGACTTGAATCTCACAGGGCATATTGAGTGCAAGAGAGATAGGGAAAGACAGCGAGCCGCTTATCAAACTTGTGTGCAGGTGTCTTAGAAGAGGGAGAAATACTACTAAAAGCCACACGATGTTTTGGAGAGTTATAATCGCCCATGTAGTGAATAGATGCAGCACATAGAAGAAGAATAAATGTTGCTTGCGATAGGGAAGTGGGTGAAGGCAGAAACCGGTTATCCCAGTTGTTTTGTTTGAGGTTTATGCTTTGGCTTATTCTCCGTAATATCCTTTTGTTATGGGACCTTACCCATAAGAACATAATGGACTATTCCATACGTAATAAATACTGCGCCTCAAGAGGAAGCAGAGAGTTCAGTCTGAAGTCGGGTGACCGGCTGATCGGTTGAACTCTCTGCCTTCGGGCGGGGAGGAACCCGAACGAGGCTACGCCGAAGGGCGGAGTCTCTTTCGGGGAGGTAAACCGACCCTGAACCCATTTATACGGGTTCAAAGGGCATATTTTTGGCCGAGCCCACGGGTTCGGAGATCCCACGTTAAACCGGCCTTGTGCCACATGATGCCATCGTGGGGGTGGGTGACTAGATATCGTTCAGTCTGAAGTCTGGTGTGAAGTCCGGCAGGAGTCTGTCAGTCAGAGCGAGCGAGTCAGTCAGTCGAGTCAGAGGCAGTCCGAAACAGAGTCGCGTTCAGACAATTACTACTAAACCTGATTGTTCGTACTAACAGTTTCTACTTCTCTGTATATATTCCTGTTTGTAATATATCTGTG